TTTTCATTTTGGCTTTTGAATAAATAATTTTTTTTTTTGAAATTCTAGAAATTCCAGGCATCAAAAGTTATACAATGTTGAAAATGTTGCTATGGCATCAAGTCTTTATTTTCTGTTATACAATGAGCCAAGGGCGTTTTTTCGAAATGAAAATTTAGATTTATATTTTTGCAATTTTTTTTATTGAAATGTTCCGATAATTTCCTATTCATAGTCAGTATTAATGGAAAATCAATACGAAAACCCACATTCCAAAACCGAACCGACATTAAAATATTGTTTGCGTGGATATTTAATTGATGAAATTTCAGGTCTCTAAATCTCAATGTTGGCATATTTCAATATAGGAGATTTATGCCGAAAGAAGAACGAAGTCGAAAAAATGCACCAAGCGAAATCTTTCCTAACGGAAACCAAAATTAACAAATGTTTCGGTGGGATATTTCAGCTTAAGTATTCGATATTTGGAACATGAATAGTTAACGCTGTATTGTGGCTATATATAATTGTGGACCCATTCAAAACATTTCCTGCAGGGAAGAATCTGCAAGAATCTCTGAATCTGAAACTCCAAAATTACAGCTATTTTTACATTGAATTTCGACTAATCTACTTTAATATTAGCAATATATTTTTCTAGTTAATAAGTACTTAAATTTGGTACCTTCCCACAAAGGGTCAAATTTTTTTTAATATCCATGAAGCTCATAGAACGCGAAATTAAAATCCAATTCCATTCAGACTTGGCACATCTCAATATTTCTATCAACACAAGATTTGATATAAAGATGGCAGGGAACGGGTCATTCGGGCCCTTCGTACCATAATTTTGAATAACTGAAACGGTTAAAAAATCCGAAATAAGCATCCGATTCTCTTCATATTTCACACATCCCATTAGTTCAGCTAACAAAAGATCTGCTGTGAAGATGTACAGGGTGAGATAAACAAAACTGCAACAAAATCAAACGCCGTAATTTTTATTTTTTTAAATTTTATTGAATGAAAGCAAAAAATGTCGGAAATAGCACCAAATTTTAGAATAAGTTTAGATTTGTTCCGATTGGTCACCTTTGGCACGATTTATAATCTCCAAACGCCCAATAAAACCGCCTGAATGTTGCTCTGCGGAATTTTGGCCCGTTCCCGGCGAAGCGCTTGCGTGAGGTGATCGACACTTTGGTATTTTTAGTGCCAACTTTGCTTTCCAAAATTCTTCAGACACAATAGTCCAAGGGATTGGTATCCGGAGATTTTGGTGGAATTTGTGCGCTGTAATGAAGCGAGGAAACTCATTTTTGTAACCGTGCTGAGTGCGATGGTGCTGAGTTCTTTTGGAATGTCCAAGGTCTGCGGCCAAAATGTTTGCGTGCCCAAGGCTTTAATACACCCTCCAGAATATTTTCGCAATAATATTCTGCATTTATTCTGATACGAGCGGAGAGCATCCATCGGCCTGTATGGCGGCCCACACCATCACTATGGCGGGCGCTTGAGTTTTGGTGGCCAACCAAAAGTGCACATTTTTATCTGATCTCTTTGGCAAGAAAACACGTCCATTTTGTTTGTTTACAAACTGCTGGACAACGAATGTTTTCTCACCGGAGAAAACCAAATTCGTCAGTTCACCACTTTCGGCCAAGCGAAGCAACTCTTTAGCTCTTTTGAGTCTATTTTCTTCCTGTTGCGGTGTAAGTTCTTGCTCTTTTTTAAATTTCAATGGCTTTATCCCGAGCTCATTTTTCAATATTTGCCGAATGGAAAATTGCAATATGTTCAGCTCACGAGCCATTTTTCGGCCACTGCAACGCGACGGTTTCGATCAAGTCGCTTCTTTACTTTCTTTCTGCTGATGTTGCTGTTTTCTTCCGTCCACTTCCTTGACGTCAGGCTTCCCTACCAGTATCACGGTAACGAGCGATGGTATGAGACACAACAGATTTATTCACATTTAAATGCTGCAGTGCTCTAACGATAGCCACTTGTGTTTTTCCAGCCAAATATAAAGAAATCACACTATCACCCTTGAATTCAACCACGAAAGTTATTCGAAAATTATTATGTTTGGAAAATTCTCAACTAAATGCTTTTGTACGCTTGTAAATCATATAATGAGCTCTCACTGGGATATTTTTAACAGCTATCGAACGAGTGGCTTAGAAATGACAGTCGTCTGAAGTTGTTGCAGTTTTATCATCTCACCTTGTATACTCGTGTTGTTGATCAGCATAAAATTCTACGTCGATTTAGCAATGTCCATCCGTCTGAGGAAATCACTTTAGCTTCCGAACGAAATGAAGTATGTTGATGAAATTTTACTCAGATGTATGTTAGGTCTGCAGGAATTTTGGTATTGAAAGTGGGCTATATAGGCCCCATATAACTGTGCCGAGAAATTTAAATTTAAAGAATCTGTCCCTATTGTGTAAGAAACACCCTTGCAGATGACTATCCATATAGGACCAAGTTTTGGTTTAATTCCCATACAACTGTACCTCCCGACATTCAGTATTTTGATCATTGATGTCACATTTTATCAACGGAATTATTATGAATTCGGTATTTGAAATTTGTAATGAATATAACCCCCTATGACTGAAATTTGATATTTGGTATTGAGAATTGATTTTATCGTCTCTGATAGAAAATTATCTACACAAATCCACATTTTCATATGGTCCCATGTAACTGAACTGGCATTTTGATCATAAATGTCAAATGTCAAACTGTTTCAAATTGGGTATATTATACCGGTGAACATTTGCGCATATCCTCCTTGGATATTCTAAATTTTGACGATTTTTTCCACATTTTCAATAAAATCATCTCAAAATTGGTGTTCGGAGTTAGCACCACCTTCTCTGCCAGATAATTGGATATTCACGTTTTCATATAAGCCCTTTGTAACAGCACCACCCAATATTTGGCATTTAAATCATTTTAGCGGACTTCAAATTATTTAGCAAGTTATTTGCAAATAGTTTGCAAATAAAAATCGCACTTTTGGTATTGAATATGGGCTATATAGGCTTTTATATAGCTCCCGTTTTGGTATAGTCCCCATATAACTATACCTCCCTATATTCGGTATTTTGATGTTTTTGGTGACATTGTTCACCGAAATTGTTTCAAATTTGGTATTTGAAGTTCGAAATGGATACTACTGCCTGAGACAGAAAATTGTCTGTGCAGGTCCACGTCTTCGTGTAGCCCCATATAACGGTACCCCCCGATATTCGGAATTTTGATGATTTTAGCTACATTATTCATCGGAATTGTTAAAAATTCGTATTTACACTACAGCCTGTGACAGAAAATTACAGGTCCACGTTTTCGTATAGACCCCAAAATGACGGTAGCTCCCTATATACGATATTTTTAAGATTTTAACAGAATTTATAACGATTTCTATTTCTTATTTATTTATTTTTTTTTTTTTTTTTGCTTGAAAGCTTCCAAATTCTTTCGTCCCGGCCGAACTTTGAATACCATTTGAAACGAATTAGAAAATTTTCAAAAAAATAAAATCCATTAAAAATTCAGTTAAAATCTTTAAAATACCTAATATCGGAAGGTGTCGATATATGGGGGATATACGATATTGTGGACCTATATAGACAAATCTATGTCTGGGGGTAAACTCCTTGTGTTTAATCTGACAATTCCGTTGAAAAATGTTTTTTTTACGTTTTTTTTTCTTTTTATATAATACAAGTTTTGGATGTAACATGGATGCAGAGCTTGGAATTATCCTATTTTATAATCTTACTTCTCTTAAAAAAGTTTATGTTGAGATTATTTTTCAATAAAGACTTTCTCAATTTCATGACTCGTTTTGTCCGTCACCTCTACACCTTTATGAAGCTAACTAGGTAAAAGTGTCAATTGGCTGTTGTTGAACTTTTTTCGTAAAATAATTTTTCTAAGAGATCATGTTCTTCAAGATTGTAATAATTTTGGAAACCTTGTCTTATGTTGCAAGTCTATATTGAGTTCAAGAAAAATGTACAAAGCATCCTATTAATGGAGTGTTATCATTAAAAATATTATATAATACGACTTTCATCCGGCGCCAGAGAATCTAATTTTTATCCTTGTTCCTTAAGTTATCCCACATTCCAATTTGTAGAATATATATATTTAGCATTTTATATATTTTAGTTGTTCGGATTATATTTCCCCTAATCACGAACGGTATAAAAAATTAAAACACCATTGAATTGATTTTTGTAGTTTTTTTTTATTGGATTTTTATTATTTAAGTTTATGTTTTGCATTATAAGTAGGTAGTTTAAAAGGATTTTTATCATTACAATTATTTAATTATTTTTTTAAATACGAGTTGAAGGCTAATCATTTATAATCAAATTATAAATACAACAACAGGGTGGTGGTCGAAAAAAAATAGAATAAACATAACTTAGATATTGAAAGAAAGTGAAAAAAAAAGAATTTCTTAAATCAAAAAAATTTACAAAAAATAAAAAGTAATAACTAAAATTAATTGGTTTGATATTGCATATTTTTTGTGGTGTTTTTTTTTCTTTATATTTTTAAGGAGAGAAAAAATAAAAACAAGGGTGGTTTCATGACTACAAACTACGTTTTAAATGTAGGAGAAGTCATTTTGGGTAGGTAGGATGGTCTACAAAACTATTTTCAAGGAATCTAAAAATCTTATTAAAAAAAAATAAAAAATAAATTTAAAAATAATTGCTTGGTTTTTAAACGTTTTTTTTATTGCTTAATTTTTTGTTTGTTGTTGTTGCTAATAATGCTGATAATTACAAATAATAGCTTACAAATTAATAATAAAAAATATTTATAATTTTATTTCATTTTTTTGTGATTTTTTTCATATTTTTTCAGGTTATCTTAAAAATTAACAGATTAATGTTGTAAAGAAAAATAGTAGAAAACAGGAGAGTAAGTTTATGAAAAAAAACAATAGGGAAATAGAAGAAATATTTTTTAAAGGAACCTTAGGAATGTTTTGAAAAAAAAAATAGAGAAGAAAAAAATTATAGTAAAAATTATAGCTAAATAGTTAAAGGTAATAATAATAACAGTAATACTTGTATTTCATGTTGTTGTCGTTTATTTTAGTTTAAACATTAAATTGTAGTTTTTTTTTTTTGTTGTTGTGGTTTTTTAGAAAAACACTCATATGTATGAATAAGGCAAGTCTGTGGTTTTTTGGGCAAGATTTTTTGTTGTTGTTATTTTGCTGGTGTTGTGGTTGAGAAAAGGACGTAATGTTTTTTTTATGGTTTTTGAAGCTCATTTGCTCTGGGTCCTTGCAGGCTGCTGGTTTTGCTTTCCTTATTCTATGGATGTATGGTTCTGTAATTCGAAGAATATATATTTTTTTTTTAATTTTTGGGAGATGGTTTGTTTTGAATTTTATCTGTGGGTTGGTTGGTTATTTGACAAAATGCGCCTGCGCATTTCAAGCTTCAATTTTTTTTTTTTTTTTTTTTGTTGAGGATTTTTTCGAATTTATTTTTTCTTTTTTCGGAATAAATTATGCGGTTTTCGATCCTGCTAACATTCAATTGGGCTCTTACTTTAGCAATACTCTTGATTTCTTGGGTATTCAAAGAAAAGCTTCCAAATCTATTTACGTGGGTGGTATGTGTGTTTGTGCGCTCGTGTTTCTATCTTTCCAGCCAGTATTTACATAGTTTGTGTGTGTGTGTACTTGTGTTTTTCTATTTCTGTGTCATAAACCATAAAACATCCATAAAAAATACAACCGTAAACCCAAGTTTAGACGCTGAACTCCATAACCAATTTCATTTCATGGTGGCATCAATGTCATCAATCCATTTGCTCGTCTCTATGTCGTTATTGTTGTTGTTGTTGTGGCTGTTGTTGGCAACCCATCACCTTCAAACTAAATCACAAAATACATTCTCCTCTCCATATGTCTACCTTGTGGGCCGCTTGGACACCCACTTGTGCCTCATTTATGGTCTTTTAAAGTTTTGAGTTTCATCAGATTTTGAAAAATCCAAAGCCATTTGTGAAAGTGAGAAGCAAAAACACAAAGTAGCTCATCTTTTGATAATCCAAGATCTTTGATGATCTAGGAGAAATGATCATGATTTCATCAGGCACACATATGGTCGCATGGTTATGGCAACGATCACAATAGGTCTGTCTGTACGTAGGAGCAGTGTAGAAAAAAAAAACAGAAGAAGACGATCTACTGATGCTGGCTGATGATGTTGATGACATTACTTAAGGCATACATGATGGCATTGTTGCTATTGCTTTTTTTTCTATATAAATATTGTTGTTGTATACATATGGGTGTGCTGTTGTTGTGTGATTGCTTGATTGGTGGGTGGGTAGTTGGGTGCATATTGATGATGATTTGCGTGCGTGCGTGCGTGCATGATCGGTATTTATATTTATAGAGTAGTTGGTGTTTTTGTTACATATTATTTCCATTTCTCTTTAATTTATTTATTTTGTTTGTTTTTATAATATGTATATATATAGAAGAAGTGCTTTACAGTATAATAGGATATTTATCGCCAGACACACTGACTACATCTAAAAATAAAACCAAAGAAGAGAAAAAAAAGAAGACCATTAGAGTTTAGAAATAACCCAATAAAAAATCAATAATTATAATATGTACAACTTAATAAATAAGAAATTGTTTTTATATACATATATAAAAAATATATAAATAATTTTAATAATAATCCCAAAAAATCCCTCCATAATAGCTCATCCATACAGAGCTTAAATTGCCAGCCCAAATGTATACCCTTTGGCCAAAGAAAAAATAACATGAAAATTAAGCGACATGCACTATAAATAAAATATTAAAATATTTTTTATTCCATATCTGGTTAAATGAGACTCTTTAAGGAAAATTTCAAAATCCAAACTAAAATTCTAAATTCAAACTAACAATTCAATGAAAAAAATTCACTTTGCCAATGAGAAAAGTAAATGTAATCCCTTATGACTATCGGTGAAGATCAAAATATTGACCCGATAAAAAATTATTTAAAACATTTTTTTTTTTTTTGAAGTAGAAAGAATTGTTTTTCCCCCTGATTTCAATACCAAATATGCAATCACAAACATGCTAAACAATTTTTTTCAGAATTTAATTTTTAATTTTAAAAAAATTTTAAATTTAACAATTTTTTTCAGAATTTAATTTTTATTTTAAAAAAAAATTTTAAATTTTAATTTTAATTTTATCATCTGACGTTGGACAAAGTATTGCTTTTTTCAATCCAGCAATCCAGAACAATTGACGTATGTTTATCAAGGGAGGGAAGAGGGAAGTTCCAGCGACCAAGACCTCTCTCTCAACTCATTGAAGTGAAGGCATTTGGAACATTTGAGGCTAATTTTTAACTCTAAGTCAAATTTTCGAAAAAAAAGAATTCAAAGAATAAAGAGCATTCTCTGTAGGCAATTTTTAAGAAATTTTAGACCCAATCAACTGAAAAAATGCAGGGTTTTTCGTTTCATTTGGGACGATATGAAATTAGTGGGAAACTCGTAACTATCCACTCAATTGTTGATTGATAAGAGATATCGACAAACTCAGGAGAAACTCCTAAGAAATATGGCTTAATTTTAAGGAATAAGATTAGTTTCTTTTTTAATTGGAAAATGCTTCTTCAAAGACCTCTTCATCCAAAAGGAACTCCTAAAATAACCAATTTCCCTAAAGACCTAATATCGACGATTTTCAGGCACTAATGGCTATGCAGAAAGAAAACTTTTCAAAGTAATCGGCTGCAAATTTTAAGAGGATATTTTGATCCCTTGGAAAGTTTAAAAATCAAATTATTGAAATCAAATATTAACAGAAATAAATATTACAACGTATTACCAGGATTCGTCGCAAACTATAAACTCTTTAAAAATTTCCAATTAAACTGTTTCCCAAAATCTTAAAATTCACCGAGATCTTCAGAAATATTGTCTTTCCATACAACACCAACAAAAAGTTTAAAAATTTTTGATCACAACCGAGTCGAAAAAACCTGAAATCATTTACTAACTACTCAAGCATTTTAAAGCCATGAAGAGAAACCTAACGCTTTCTGAAATAATCTTCAAAAGCGTAAAAATCTTAAAAAAACGCAATTCGACTTTTGATATTGAAATGTCTAAATACTGAAATCTACCTTTCCTAGTAGTCAAAGTTGCAGAGTCAAATGTTTGTATTTTGTTGTTGAATTGATTTTTTTGACCAACAAAATTCGGAAGATTTGCCATTACTATACTAGCCCAAAAATGTGCAATGACTCGAATTTTGGTTTAAGGTAAAAATTCGAAATTAATCTTTAACTAAATCGTTGGAAGGACACCTTTAGAAAGAAGAAGTCGAAAATTCCTTCAAGAAAAAATGTCGAATTTTTATTCCGACAACTTTCAAATAAAAGTGGGGGTTTGAGTTTTCTTCTCACTGTTCCCAAGACAAAACAGTTAAAAAACAAAATTTGAGATGAATCTATGAAATGTCTGTTAATATTGTGACGGTGCCTTTAGAGAAGCTCAAGGAACGCAATTTCCATCTAAAATGATCGGAAATTTTTTTCTCCCTACTTTGGAAGTTCTAAGAATAGTTAATAATATATAGGTAAAGAAAGTGCTGAATCAAGAACTCCACCATTCACCGACTAACTTATCGTTCCGTCTTCCATAATAAATGTAAAAATAGAAAGTTTTAAAATTTCAGAGATTCAATTCCGGAAAAAATAATTAGAGTCAGACGTTTTTTTTTTTTTTTTTTTTTTGAAAATACGCTCAAAATGGCGTTAACTGAGTCCAAAACATTAAATATTTTTTTTGATCCTTTGAGGGAAGAGGAAGGCTCGAAAAAAGGTTCACACAACTTCGACATAAATACTATCTTTTCCTTACTGACTTTTCTGCAATGACACTTTTCACAATTTGACACAATTTCGCAAACAAACGACAGAAGAAGAGAAGTTTTCCAAAACCCTTAAAAAATAAAAAAATTAACCAACGGCGAAGCACATCTCATCTTTCCGAACTACAAGGAAAAATATTTTTTTTTAAATGTCAGGGGGAAAATGATTTCTTAATTGATATTTTTTATTCCTCCATTTCTGAAATTTGGATTTTATTTCACTGGCCTTTTCCAAAATCTTAAAAAAAAAACAATGTTGCAACCCCCGGCAAATTGTCTTTTTTTCACATCTCCAAGCTATTTTTACATTTTTTTAATTGTTGCCTGCTCGAGCAAAATTCCAAGCTTTCCAATTTTAATTGATTATTTTTCGTTCGAAAATATATTTTTCTTATTGGCTTCTATCAAAATCTTAAGGAGCAATTCCAGGGAATATATAAAACGCTTTTTCGACTGTCTTAAGTCATCGGCTGGATTCTTCGTAGAGGAAAAAAGGAATTTTAGGTTGACTTAGTTCGATTTTGGCCCTAGGCTCCTTTGTTCTTTTCCGAAGAAGCCAGCCGATAACTAAAGCCAGTCAGAAAAGCGCTTTATGTATTCTCACCTTTAGTTTATTTTGCCGAACAAAAAACGCTCAAGATTCGATTTATTTATCCCTATAACATACTTTTCTCATTGGCATAAATTGAAATCTTGAGGAAAGCTGTTTTGTAAATAAAACAATAAATAAAAATACACTATCTGTCATATTTCACAAAAAAGACTCAAAAACCTCAGGGGCGAAACAAAGACCTGAAGCAAGAAAGGAAGAATTATTCTTTACTCTCAATTTCTGAGTGACAAAATGCCAAATCTTTATCCACTAACGAATTTTTCAAAATTCAGGAGACAAATTCAATTTCTTCCCTTTTTGTAATTTGCTCACTTTTTTTCTCTCCCTTCTTAGAGCCCTAATATTCTAATTTTTCGATTAATTTATATTTCTTCCATTTTCTTCATTTTTTCTTTCATTTTTTTTTTTTATCTGAAAATATGTTTTTCTCATTGCCTTCATTCGAACAACATCAAAGCTCCAGAAACGTTAATTTTAGCTCAAAAAAGAAAAAAACTCAATCATATTCCTATGTTTCAAAGCAGACCCATGAAACTTTGTTGCTTTTGATAACCTCAGGAGAAAAAAACTCTCAGAAACGACTGGAAGAAGTCTCCCATACTCTCCTTTTTTCGTATCGAAAATTGGAAATTGTTAATTCATCAAACGGATTTTTCAAATTGCATTAACCCACGGCAATTTCTTGAGAATTTCTTCCCATTTTCTAATTTTTCTCACTGTTGTTTGAACCTACTTCTCTCTACTTGGCGTTCAAATATTCTAATTTTCTCAATTTAATAAATTTCTTTTTTTCGTGATTTACTTTGTTTTGTTTTGGATTTTTTTCGTTTTTTCTTTTTGTAAAACTTACCTGTGCTGTCTGAGATTATCACGCTGTTTGAAATATTTGCCGCACACTTCGCAGGAATAGGTGATTTCGGGCGATTTGTGGGTCCGTTCGTGGATCATTAGATTGTAGGGTTTGGTGAAACGCCGCTGGCAATACTTGCAAATGAACTCACACTTCGGACGCATCTTGCGACGAAAGTCCGACCGGCAGTCATCATTGTCGATTCTCATTACAGCGAACATGGTGGTGGCTTTGTTTGTTTGCTTGTTTCTTTGTTGTTGGCTTAACTGTTGTTCTTGCTTGCTAGCAGTTGTTGTCGTTGTTGTTGCTGTGGTTGATTAAAAGCACACTCTCACAATAAAGAACACAAAAAATGTCACTTGCAATTAAAAGTAAAGAGCAGTCGTTTTATGTCGTCGGTACTCTCTTTTCTCTGGGAGGGGGATTACCAAATGAGATGGTGTGTTTGTTTGCTTGCCGTTGATTAACGGATAAATGTGTTGGTCGGTGTTGGTGTTAGTGTTGCTGTCGTACTTTAATACTCTTTGAGAGTAATTGAGTAATTTCAGTTGTTGTTGTTCACAATTATAAAAAACAAATGCTATTCTCGGGGTTGTCGTTGTTATTGTTCTTTTGTATGAACGTGAAAAAACTTGGTATTAACACTGTTGTGGTTTTAGATAAGACCGCTGTTTGCGGTTGGGTGGGGATTTTGGGGGAGGGAAACTTTGTTTTCCTCCTTATTCCACTCAAACGTAAATTTATGTTATCGATTGTCGGGCGGCGGCACGGTTAATCTCTTCTTGTTTTCCTAGTTGTCCAGCAAAATGATATGCGGTTTATGGCTTAGCTTCCACCGCAACGACGATGATTGGCTGCGATCTGTGGGTTCGGTGTGTGTGGCTTTTCAGCAATTTGTATTTATGGTCGAAAAAATACAAGTCGTTTCTTCTACTTCAACTTCTTTTCGTTCTGGCCAGCTTTTGTGTGTGGCAATATAGGGTGCACCTTAAATAGCTAGGAACGATTTTTTTTTTTTCTTTTTTGATTTTATTTCTTTCGGGCTACGCAGAGAGATAACAAGCGCGTTATGCAGCAGCTGCTGACAGACTGATGTGTTACTTCAAATGGTGATTTAAACACCTTTAGTTTTTACTTTTTTTCTTGTGGCGTTTGGTGGTGTGTTTCAAACACGAAAATACTTTGTTATGGCGTTTGCGAGATTTTTTCTTTCTTTTACTCTTATGGCCAAGGCGACGGCAGTGGCGGTGGTGGTTGTTGCTCAAAGGTGATATTGTTGGTGGATGAATGCCTGAATGGTGGTGGTTGTTGTGGTTTTATCTATGTCCGTTGTTGTTGTTGTTGCCGTCTCTTGAAGATCGTTTTCAATTTAGAAATGTTATTGGCTGTGTGGTGTTGAATGTGGGCGTATTTCGAAATGCTCTATTTTAAACACTTGAAAATATCTGTTTTCGTCTATTATTTGATTGGTGCGTTTTTGAAATTCATTCAGTGTTTTCTTTTCTTCGTTTGGTTTTTTTGTTGTGGGTTAAGGTAGACAAAAACGATCTTGTTCACAAAAATTTCTGAAAAAAGAAATAGACAAGAAATTAGGTTTTTATTAATAAAAAAAATCAGTAACCATTTGTTAGATAGGTAGGTGGGTTTTCTAATTTGGAAATCATTACAATAAAATTATTTTTAACACAAATTTGACGTAACATAACGAATTTGAGCCACCGAATTTATTGAATGCGTTCGATGGTTGGAAGGTGGGTAGCTAGGTATTTGACATAAATATTTTTTTTGAATGCTCCCTTTCTGCTAACACAAATTTTGAAATACATACAAATTTATATATTCCTTTCCTGATTTCTTAAAGATATGTAAGTGAGGTGCACGTGGAAGTAATGCAGGAGGCGTATTTGTTTAAAAATGATTTAAAAAAATTCAAATTGAATTTACGTGCTTATCAATCTGAGTCATGTATATATTTTTGTAAATATTTTTAAAGCTTAGATGCCTATTAAATAATTTTTGAATGGTAGGCAGGTTGATGTGAGGGAAAATTGTGTTCCCAAAAAAATCTTTTAGAGATAGGATCCTCTGTAAATAAAATAAATGAAATAAAATATTGAAATTTCTACATTTTCTTCTTGATTTTTTACAGGAATCCCTTTTCTCGTGTCTAACCACGTGGAAGTGATGCCAGAGGCATATTTACTAAAAATTGAGAAAGTCAAATTGATTAAAAATTGCAAATTGATTTCAAAATTTCCCAATGCAATAATATTTATTTATTTTTTCTTTTTTTTTGGAATGGAGATCACTTTTTGAATTAATTTAAAAAAAATTATTTTGTATATGATTATCGGTAAAATGTTGAAATTTCTATATTTTCTTCCTTGTTTCATAAAGAAACGTCATTTAAGAGTACGTGGAAGATGAAAAAGCCATGTTTTTTTTTTCTCAAAAAAAAAAAAAAAAAATAAATAATAATAATAATAATAATAAAATAAATAAATAGATAAAAATAGAAAAGTAAATGAATTAAAAAATTAAAATTAAAAAAATGAATTAAAGAACGGCAAAAATACTTGATCGAAAAAATATTATTTTTTTTATTTTTCTAAATTTCATTAAACAGTGAATAAAAAAACGTGGTTTTTAAAATAACCTAAAAAATTTAGGCGGATTGTTCATTTTAAGAAATAATTCGACGCTATTATAGATTGCAATAAGCGGTGCTTAATTTCGGAACTTGTAAAGCAAACTAAACAAATATTTCCGTAGCAATGTACAATTTTGGATTATTTCAAATGTATCGAAAACTATAATGGGAATAAAATTCTACCTTCTTTGCGGCATTTGTTACAAGAGTGTGAACAAACGAAGACATTGAGAAATACGCTTTCTTAAAAAACAATTAAAGAAGAGCGGGGTTATTTTTAACTGGCCACACTTTAGACTATCATTATCTTTGAAAATTCAAAAAAAAAGAAATGGTCCATCAAAAAAAAAAAAAAAAAAAAAAAAAAACAAAAACACGTTAAAAATTATTAACGTTAAAAATTATCAGCCAATATTCGATTATTTGAACATATTTTGACTTTTGTTATGAAATTTTTCAAATGTTTGACCCTCTGTGGTGTAGGTTCCTAAGAAATAGGTCAATATTGTCCATTTCGTATCGGACATAATTTGAAGAGAGTTGGAAGCTTATTTCGCTTTCTTTGAGCGTATTGTTTTGCAAAATCTTGAACCCTATGTGGGGGAGGTACCAGAGCAAATTGTCTAATCTCTAGCAGCTTTATAACAGATCTTGTGTTGATCGAAATATTGAGATGTGCCAAGTCTGAATGGAATCGGATGTTAAGTTCGTGGTTTATGAGCTTCATGGGCATTCAAAATGTTTACATTTTGTGGTAGAGGTACCAGAAGCAGTGGACCGATATATCTCATCTTCACAGCAGATCTTGCGTTAGTAGAAATAATTGGATGTGTAAAATATAAAGAGAACCTGATGCTTATTTCGGATTTTATAAAAGTTTTAGTTATTCAAAAGTTTGAACCTTTGTGGGGGAGGTATCAGAAGAAATGGTCCGATCTCCATTATCTTTATAACAGATCTTGTATTGACGGATATATTGAGATGTACCAAGTCCGGATGGAATCGGGTGTTATTTTGGCGTTTTATGAGCTTCATGGATATCCAACAATTTCGACCTCTTGTGGGGGAGGTACCAGAAGGAGTGGACCGATATATTCCATCTTATCACTAGACCTTGGTTTAATAAAAATATTGTGATGTGTGTAATTTGAAGACAATCTGAGACTTATATCACATTTTATTAGAGTTATAATTACTGAAAATGTTGACCCTTTGTGGGGGAGGTACTTGATGGAGTGGACCGATATTGTCCTTTTTTGCACCTGCCCAAGAACTGATGCAAATATTAGGATTTGCAAAGTTGAAGCAAAATCGGATTATCGTTTCTCTTTCTGTGCAGAAAAATATATTTTTTGAAAATTTCGACTTTTTGTGGGAGAGGTACTAGAAGGAGTGGACCTAAATTGCCCATCTCCGAATTCGATCTAAGTTTGACAAAAATATTACGTAAATGTACCAAAGTTTGGCTAAATAGGAAACTCCCTTCGAGAGTTATTGTGCGCACCAGCCAACTAGCCAGACGGACAGACAAACGGACGGACATCGCTAGATCCAAAGAGACCTAGGATCTAAAACCGTTATTTGGAGTCGATCTAGACATGTTCATCAGACTGGAAAATACACATGATTTCAAAACATTGGACATCGTCATATTGCTGTCAAACTTGGCTGAAGTTCGGTAAAATGCTTCTGGTCCCTCAATTACGAAAATTCAAAATTTTCAATAAATAAATAATAATAAATAAATAAAAAATAAATTTGTAATAACTTTATAAAGCATAAGCCAGAAATTCAGTTTGAAACTGTTTCTGAAGGGCCAAAATAGCAAAAATAAAAATTTATCTCCAGGGCATCTACCCATCGTAATCACTACCAGGGGTACTCAAATTTCGCACATAATAATAAATATTTATGAAATTTATAGCAGGTGCGAAAATCGACATTGCGGGTCCATTCCGTTGAGCACCGGTCCTATAAGGGTTAAAAATTAAATTTCATAAATTGTAAAAATTTACCCAGATATCTATATTTCTATTACAACTTGCTCTAGAGTAAAAATATAATTTATTGGTCCACTCAACCGCGTAGCTCCCAAAACTAATAAAATTTTAAAAAAATATAAGTTAAGGCTTAGGGTGTGTTCGATTTGGTTGAGGCTCCATATATCGCAGTATTTAACCTCTGACATAGATTTGATGTAAAAATCGCCAGCATATTTTAACGCTATCTGGGTGCTCCGCCACAAAGGGTCAATATTCTGAATTTCACCATTGCCCTCATAGAAATCAAACAAAGTCGAAAATTTATTTAACGTTTTATTTTTTAATTTTTAAAAATTAGGAATTTTTAATTTTTTTGGGGATGGTTCTACGACTATCAATGACTCTGATGATAGATATTCACAAAAAAATATTGAACAAAATATAAATCCCGGCAAAAAGTTGCTCGCTTTCAGGAACGGGAAGTTGGCGCCCAACTAACAAAACAATTGCCACCTAAATTTAGAAAAATCATGAAAAAATAACAATTTCTTTCTTTTAACAAAAGCTAGGATTTTTTTTTTTCTAAAAATTTAAAGAATCTAGGAAAGGAAGGATATTTTATTTTTTAATTTATTATTTTTTATTTTTTTCCAGATGCTCAATAAAACCATAGCAACAATTAAATTTACATTAATAACAAAACAAAAGTGCTCAAATTTCTTCAGACTAATTGTATCCGAAGCTAAATAAAAATCGTCAAAAATCCCGAATAATCTCAAAAATGTATTTATTTCTCTTTAGAATTGAGTTTTCAGATAAAATATTTGCCTTCATCAAAAATATTTTAAATATTCAATGTTCGGCATTTCTGGTTATTACATTCTTAAATTTATGAAATTTCCTTATCTCTTTTCAACTACTCAAAAAAAATCCCCAAAAAATAATTTAAAATAAATTTCAAAATTAAAACATTTATGACCCATGTCTCAATATCAAATGGCCACAATTTATTTGTTAATATTTTATTTCAGAAAAAGAAAGAGGGTACATGAGATTACAAAACAGGAAGCAAAAAGCCCCGGCAACTGTTTGGCAAATGTCAAACCCTTTTATTTTATGGCAAAGAAAGGGAAAAGAGAGGGAGAGATGAGGGTGATGCGTTGGTGTTATTGTCCCTCTCTCTCTCTTTCTCTGCGCCTGTAAATTGAACATTAATCAATTGTAATTAATCTTGATGTGATTTTTGTTTCACATTAACAGCAACCCAGTGGCCACTGGTCATTTTCCCAAAATTCCAGGAATTTCAAATGAATAGAATGAACGAAAAAGAAACCCCAAATGATTGCTTGCTGTGAGGCTTAATCATCGCATTGCCATATATAATCCGGCAGGATGGGTTCGATGGATATGCGCCAGCTTTAAATTTAATTTTATCACAAAAAAAAGCGCAGCTTAACAATTGCCAGAAGCTTGTTTTGGTCGGAGCGTATAATGAAAGTATCAGTGACAAACAAAAGATGAGGAGAAAAAAAATTCCAGCAGCCTTGGACGGACTCACATAATCCCGCTGATACGAGGCCAAATAACAATAGGTTTCCGCAAAATATTTTTAATGAAATGTGGAAAGAACAAATATTTGTCCTGCTGGCGCTTAAAAAAATAAGGCTGAGCCGATGGCTGGTTGGCAATGCCTTTAATGGCCTTTGGAGAACCGTTTAACATAAATTTTCGAAATTTATAACAATTTATGACATTCATAACAGCTTGTTAAGCAAATCCATAAAAAAATGAAGAAGCCCCCTAAGCATTTGGGTTGCAACGCCCCCGCACCACAGCCCCCACCCTTAACCCCTGAGATGTGCCTCGACTCAGGAGTTAATGTGAGGGTATTTGTTGTTGTGTTTTTTCTCCCCATTCCATCTCAAGGAAGTAG